CCCAATCTTAGTTTTTAAAGTTTCTGAAGAGGACACCAATTAAGCTCTGAAAGGGGGAAAAAAAAATCACAAATACCGATAGCTTGGATAGTACTAATGTTAGTGACATCCAGTACTGACAGTAAAAAATTAGGGGTGTGGAGAAACTTTACTTGGCCTAAGTGCATTCAATGAATCTTGAGATCCACCGCTGCTCTCCCTGTTCCTTGCTCCCTAAACTGAGCACTTTCTACCTCTTTCATGTTTTGAAGGTCTAAGCACAGAAAGTACTATTATATTGTTACACAATAATGGCAAAAAGTGTCTTTTCTTCTCAAAAGTTTTTATCTGCTTTACTTAAACTGCCAAAACCCAAAAAGGCAGTATATTCCCCAGTTCACACTTTGTAACAAGTTTTAAACATCCCAAAGCAAAAATAACAAAATTTTAATTAATGTGTTTCCTATTCTTAGATATATATATATGTTTATATCTGAGTGTTTCTGAAAATCATATCCATTTTTTCATGTATACATTTAATGCAATAGGTTCTTTTTTCCTTCTCAAGAAGCTGTTTTTAACCCAAGTGTATGAGCAAGCCACGTTATATATAGTATACTAGATGTTCCCAAAGAGGAATATTTCAGATTTGTTAAGGGTTATATAAAATAACAAATATCTTGGTTCTTAAAAAATCAACCTTAGAAAGAGGGAAAGAAGAACAAAAAGTAAAATTCCTCTCCATCTTAGGTTCAAACATTCAGAAATTTTATGGTTGCCACCTTGTATTATTACTTTGTACTATTTCCCTGTACGACTATCCTGTGAGGGTTAGAAGACAACACCAGGATGGGGGGAAGGCAGAGAAGCTGCTATAGTGTACACACATGCCACGTATCTATTACGTGGCATTAATTCTCTGTGTGATGTTTTGAGGTGTATAACTCCTCAAAAAAATTGCAGTGGCAATATTAACAAAAAAGAATTTGTAATATAATTTAGTAAGTGCTATAATAAAAAGTAGATACAGGGCATTGTGGAGGCACACAGGAAAGGCACCTAACCCTTCTCTGCACAAATGCTGTACAGGTGCTACCAGGAAGGCCTCTGGGAGGAAATAATGCCTATATTAAGACTCGAAAAAGGAGAAACAGCAATGTCCTTGGAAATACTGATGGGGATTTCTTTTCGATAATGGTTTAAGTAATGAATTCTGCATGGTAGGTGCTCAGTACCTATATAAGGCAGGTAAACCTCTTACTTTCCCTTTTTTTTGATGGCGGAGGAGGGAAGGGAGGAAATGAAAAGGCCAAAAATGAATATAATCAAGTATAAATGAAAAGAACAAAAGCAAGATAAATTAATGAATAGTATGAACTCTGGTTTTCACACACCTTAGTTCAAACCTGGAATTCTAGCACTTACTATGCTACGTGATCTTAGGTAGGCACCTAATTCTCTAAGCCTCAGCGCTCTCATCTGTAACCAACGACAACCAACTCAAAGGGATATTGTGAAGCTGAAATAGGATATAATACATATTGATTTGTCTAGTTGTCTAATTAGTTTTCCCACCAGATCATAAGCTACAAAAGACAGAGGCCATGCAAAATATCTTGTATCACTGTCTAGTAAGTCCTTAGTAAAATGCTTGGCACGCAGATATTTAATAAATGTTGACTATCATTAAGTACTTTGCTATGATGATTTCAATTACAGCAACACCATGACCTCAGCACAGTATTATATGTTTGATTATATTCTGAAGAGATCAAAAATTACTAACTCGTTCCTTATTTCAATGTAAAACACTTATAAAATCAATGCTGCCCCTACACTAAAAGTTTTACTAATTATGAGAGCCATAAAGTCTTCCAGATCTGAACAAAAACTTTAGAAAAACATGTCCTTGGAGATACTACACAGTTAAATCTATACTGCAAGGAAGGTACAAATAAATTTTTTTTCCTCTCTAAAGAAGTGTTTCTCTGGCCGGGCGCAGTGGCTCAAGCCTGTAATCCCAGCACTTTGGGAGGCCGAGATGGGCGGATCACGAGGTCAGGAGATTGAGACCATCCTGGATAACACGGTGAAACCCCGTCTCTACTAAAAAAATACAAAAAACTAGCCGGGCGCGGTGGCGGGCGCCTGTAGTCCCAGCTACTCGGGAGGCTGAGGCAGGAGAATGGCGTAAACCCAGGAGGCGGAGCTTGCAGTGAGCTGAGATCTGGCCACTGCACTCCAGCCTGGGCGACAGAGCGAGACTCTGTCCCCCCCCCAAAAAAGGAAATGTTTCTCAACTAAAGGTGCCCTTTGCCTGCAAGGTACATATTGCAATATCTAGAGATATTTTTTGATCGCCACAACTAGGAGTGTAGGGGTGTTACTGGCTTCTAGTGGGTGAAGGCCAGGGATGCTGCCAAATACCCTATAATGCACAGGACAGCTCTCACAGCAAAGAATTATCTAGTTCAAAATGTCAATAGTGCTGAGGTTCGGGGGCAGAGGAGTTGAAGGGTAGACAGGTAGGCAAAGATATAAAATTGTATAAACATTTACAAGTAGGTTAGGTTTAATATTATCAGAATTCATGTGTATTACTGCAACTTACTCATTTTTACCAAGTTTTAGATTTTTAAAAAGAGGTTTGAAGGAACTTAGATTTGTTTTTTCTAATATTTATCTAAGATTGAGAGAATGGTCTCTCTAAAAATATTTCAGGTCCATCAAAATATATAAAAGCTTTCAATAACTCAAAAAAAATAATGTCTAAATATAATTTCAAGTCTTACAAATGAAGCTCTAATCTGTATCTAGGAGTAAGAAGGCACAGTCACATCAAGCTGAAAGGAAAAGTACGCATGTGGCTTACATTTTCTACTATTTTATCAGTACACTGATTTTCAACGTACAAAACAGATTTAAATGATGTGTTAATTTTATTCATTTATATATGCAAGGTGGACGGAACATGTGGCATTTTGCCATTCCACTACCTTTTCTTTGCCATTTCTTTATTAATGATCCCTACCTCCACACTGTTTCTTTCTTTTTTTTTTTTTGAGACAGAGTCTCACATGATCTCTACTCACTGCAACCTCTGCCTCCTGGGTTCAAGCCATTCTCCTGCCTCAGCCTCCCAAATAGCTGGGATTACAGGCGCGCACTACTATGCCTGGCTAATTTTTGTATATTTAGTAGAGACAGATCTCACCATGTTGGCCAGGCTGGTCTCAAACTCCTGACCTCAGAAGATCTGCCCGCCTTGGTCTCCCAAAGTGCTGGGATTACAAGTGTGAGCAACCGTGCCTAGCCCCTACCTCCACATTATTTCTGATGCATGTTTTATAGCACATGTACACTAGTCATCTATTTAAAATTGTGAGGTAGTACCACACACAGTAACGATTAAATTTAACTTATGGCAGTGAAAGCATAAACTTTGGTTACTATCACAGATGGAATTGGCTGGGTGCGGTGGCTCACACCCGTAATCCGAGCACTTTGGGAGGCCAACGTGGGCAGATCATTTGAGGTCAGGAGTTTGAAACCAGCCTGGCCAACATAGTGAAACACTGTCTCTACTAAAAATACAAAAAAAAAATTAGCTGGGCGTGGTGGTGGGCACCTGTAATCCCAGCTACTCGGGAGACTGAGGCAGGAGAGTTGCTTGAGTCCAGAAGGCGGAGGTTGCAGTGAGCAGAGATCATGCCACTGCACTCCAGTCTGGGAGAGAGTGAGATTCTGTCTTAAAAAACAAAAAAACAAATGGAATCATCAGGCAGAAGTGAATCTAGGTGGTAAAATCCCAAGTAGTAGTTGTTGTTATTTATTAAGCATCTTTTGGAATGACATTAATCTTTGGTCTCACATTTGAGAAAAATAGTGTCATCAAAATACAATAAACTGACAATTTTTTTTTTTTTTGAGACGGATGCTCACTCTGTCACCCAGGCTGGAGTGCAATGGCACAATCTTGGCTCACCACAACCTCTGCTTCATGGGTTCAAGTGATTCTCTTGCCTCAGCCTCCCGAGTAGCTGGGATTACAGGTGTGCGCCACCACACCTAACTAATTTTTGTATTTTTAGTAGAGATGGGGTTTCACCATGTTGGCCAGGCTAGTCTTGAACTCCTGACCTCAGGCCATCCGCCTGCCTTGGCCTCCCAAAGTGTTGGGATTACAGGAGTGAGCCACTGCACCCAGCTGACTTACACATTTTAAACAATTTTTGAAACAGTTTTACTAAGAAATCTAACCCATGTAAAGCTATTGCTAAAGCCTTTTGGCTGAGGCAGTAACTAATGAGACTCTGTAGAATATAAAGGTGCAGTAGGGTAAAAAAGTCTACCGCTATTGAGCCATGAGTCCAAAATCTTAAATAATAAAAAAAGTCTGGCCAGGCGCGGTGGTTCACGCCTGTAATCCCAGCACTTTGGGAGGCTGAGGCGGGCGGATCACGAGGTCAGGAGTTTGGGACCAGCCTGGCCAGCATGGTGAAACCCCATTTCTACTAAAATTACAAAAATCAGCCAGGCATGGTGGCACGCACCTGTAGTCCCAGCTACTCGAGAGGCAGAGGCAGGAGAATCATTTGAACCTGGGAGGAGGAGGTTGCAGTGAGCCAAGATCATGCCACTGCACTCCAGCCTGGGCGACAGAGCAAAACTCCATCTCAAAAAAAAAAAAAAAAAAAAGTCTATCTCATCTGAAGAAATGTTGGGGTTTATTTCTATATTATTGGAGACATATTTTATATTAATAATCAAAAGCAGTTACATAATTTTGTCATATATGCAAATATCTTGAGCCTGAAAAGTATGAAAATCCTTCACTGTCTACTAAAATTATTTTTTTGAGCATCATTTAATTTCATACAAAAATCAAAGTGCCACAGTCCTTCAAAGACATCAGTGACAATATCAAAGATTTTTCTAAGCTGATATTTTACATCTGAAAGGTCTAGACAATTATTTGTGCATGTGCCCACATAATTTAACAACTTGCAAAGTGATCATACCTCTTCAATACCAGCTATATTATTCACAGCCAGTTTTTTTAGAGAACTCTGAAGCTTTTTGTCATCAGCTGTGGCTGTTCTGTGTACCACCTTCTTCTTTCTGCGAGCTGTACCCTGAAAAATAACCAAACAGAAGTGTTAGCATGCCTGGCATCTGGCAACTGCAATCACATCTTATATATCACAATAATCTAACTAAAACCCACATAAAAAATAATGATTAATATTATAAGACTGCTCAGAGGTTGTGACTGTCAGCCTAATGCAGATTTTTAAAGGTCAGTTCTAGCCAGTTCTTTTTTTTCCTTATCAGCTTTCTCGGGTTGAATTATTCTTATCTAATATCCAGCCTTTATCATTTCAACACAAGATACCGTTTGCTAATAAAACATAATGTATAACTTCAAGACAATTTAAGTACTTTATAACAATTTTAAAACATTATCATTTCTTATAGTAACTACCACCCCCTGCCAATAGTCTAAAGATATTCTGAAATTTGGGGAATTAGGACATAACTGAAAATTAATACCTACATTACAGTAGGAGGAAAAAAAATCAATAAATAAACAAATTAGACAATTTCAAATGGGATTAAGTACTATTAAGAAAAAAAACAAAACTAGAGCACAGGAAGAATGACTAAGTGGGAGTACAGCACTACTTTATTAGAAAGTCTAGGAAAGCCCTCTCTGAAGAGGTAACATAAGAATTGAGACCCATAACTAGGGCAAGAATGTTCCAAGCAGAATGAAACAAGGTTGAACTTGTCCTTTCTAGAAGAGAGAAAATGGGCCAGTATGGCTAGAGTAGAGTGAACAATGGGAACGGAGGAGGAGTATGAAATCAGAAAGATAGGCAAGGACCAGATTATGTAGCCTAGAATGCCATGGGCAGGAGCTAGATTTCATTCTGATTGCAATGGGAAGCCATTGAAAGGTTTCAAGCATGGGAGTGACTTGATCTGATTATTTATGACTGAAGTTGCTATGTGGAAAATGGATTATAATGAGACCAGTCAGCAGGCTCCTGTAGCCACCCTGGCAAAAGATGAGGAATATGGCAGTGAAGATGGTGAGGGGTTAGATTCTCACAAGAGACCACATGACTTTGCTGATGGATTACATGTGGGATACGAGAAAAAAAGGGCATTTGGATGATGCTTAGAATCTTGGCCTGAGCAAACAGGTTGAAAATTATGCTAGTTACTGAGAAAGAAAAAGTTCATTTCTAAATTGATACTTTGAAACTCTAAATACATTTTTCCATTGAAATACTATTTAAAATAATGGATTAAATTCCTGGATCAGTTTATTAAGTCTTGAGGGTGAAATATTTCTAAAACTGGTAGGAGTAAGGAGAATGGAATAGTGGTTACAATCTCTGGGCAGCTCCTATAGTAGTACTCAGGGAATCAGCCTTATAGAGGGAAGGTAGGGGCTTCAGTCTCAGCAATTCTGGTGGGAGTGGAGGAGAGATGTGACGGCAGAGGATGCCTTGAAATCTAGTTGCTGAAGGACTATTTACATAGGCACTCACTTGTGAAGCATTCCTGACTCAGGGATAGCTCAATTGCTTGGTGAATACCTCAACTCGAATGATCCTCAGGTACCTCAAATTCAACATGTCTTAAAGCTTATCAGTCTACCAATCTATTCTTTCTGTATTTCCTAACTTTTGTAGCTGGTGGTACCACCATATACTCAAGTCTCTAAAATCATGAATCTGTGGGTTATCCTAGATTCTTCTGCATGCCCTTCACCCCCCATATCCCATCAGTCACTAAATTGTGTCAATTCCAACTCCTAAATTTGTATCCCATATAATAGAGGTCCCCAACCGCCAGGCCACTGACCGGTACCAGTCTGTGACCTGTTAGGAACACGGCAGCACAGCAGGAGGTGGGGCGGGGGGTATGAGCGAGCATTACTGCTTGAGCTCCACCACCAGTTAGATCAGCGGCAGCATTAGATTCTCACAGGAGCGAGAACCCTGTTGTGAACTGTGAATGCCAGGAATCTAGGTTGCGCACTCCTTATGAGAATCTAACTAATGCCTGATGACCTGAGGTGCCACAGCTTTATCCCAAAACCATCATCCCCCCATCCGTGGAAAAACTGTCTTCCATGAAACCAGTCCCTGGTGCCAAAAAGATTGGGGACTGCTGCCTTATACTATAGCAATAGCCTCTCAACTGTTCTCCTACATGCCAAACTTCCATTTCGTTCCGTTTTCCACAACTCCAGCAGTTACGTTTCTAAAATGGCAGTCATTTCCTTCTTAAAATCCTTTAATAGCTGCCCACTGCCTACAGGATAAAACTCCAAGCTCCTTGGTATGGCATATAAAAGTATGATGGAATCCCAAAAACCTGGTCATTTCATTTCCTGCCATTCTCTATCCATTACATACTCTAAAGAATAGCTGTACCGGCCAGGCGCGGTGGCTCACGCCTGTAATCCTAGCACTTTGGGAAGCCGAGGCGGGCAGACCAGAAGGTCAGGAGTTTGAGACCAGCCTGACCAACATGGTGAAACCCCGTCTCTACTAAAAATACAAAAATTAGCCAGGCGTAGTAGCACATGCCTGTAATCCCATCTACTCAGGAGGCTGAGGCAGGAGAATCGCTTGAACCCAGGAGGCGGAGGTTGCAGTGAGCCAAGATCACACCACTGAACTCCAGCCTGGGTGATAGAGCAAGACCCCATCTCGAAAAAAAAAAAAAAAAAAAAAAAAGGCCGAGGCAGGCGGATCACGAAGTCAGGAGACTGAGACCATCCTGGCTAACACAGTGAAACCCTGTCTCTACTAAAAAAAATACAAAAAATTAGCTGGGCCTGGTGGCGGGCACCTATATGGAGGCTGAGGCAGGAGAATGGCGTGAAGCTGAGAGGCAGAGCTTGCAGTGAGCTGAGATTGCGCCACTGCACTCCAGCCTGGGCAACAGAGACTCCGTCTCAAAAACAAACAAACAAAAGGTCTGAGCGCAGTGGCTCACACCTGTAATCCCAGCATTTTGGGAGGCCAAGACGGGCAGATCACCTGCGGTCAGGAGTTCAAGATCATCCTGACCAACATGAAGACACCCCATCTCTATCTCTACTAAAAATACAAAAATTCAGCTGGGCATGGTGGCGCATGCCTGTAATCCAGCTACTTGGGAGGCTGCAGCAGGAGAATCGCTTGAACCTGAAAGCAGAGGTTGCAGTGAGCCGAGATCGTGCCATTGCACTCCAGCCTGGGCAACAAGACCGAAACTCCTTCTCAAAAAAAAAAAAAAAAAAAAAAAAAGAATAGCTGTACCAAATTAAAGCAAGCCATTCCACTAAGTACCGTGTTATCTTAGCACCGTATGTGCCTTTGCAAGTATGGAAATAACAACCCTTTTTACTCTACCTCCATGAACCCTCTTTTTTTTTTTTTTTTTCTGAGATGGAGTCTTGCTCTGTTGCCCAGGCTGGAGTGCAGTGGTGCGATCTTGGCTCACTGCAACTTCCACCTCCCGGGTTCAAGTGATTCTCCTACCCCAGCCTCCTGAGTAGCTGGGACTACAGGCGTGCTCTGCCACACCTGGCTAATTTTTGTACTTTTAGTAGAGACAGGGTTTTACCATGTTGGCTAGCTGGTCTTGAACTCCTGACCTCAAGTGATCCACCCACCTCAGCCCCTCAAAGTGCTGGGATTACAGGTGTGAGCCACTGTCCATTACATTTCTGCCAGCCATTACCTTTCTGTCTAGTGATAAATTCTTGTTTATCCTTTAAATAAGAGCTCAGTAACGACTTTCTTGTCTCCTCTAGGCAAGAGCACCTGGTACTTCATCATAACACTCACTATTCTCCATTATAATTGTGAGCATCTCTCTCCCAAGCAGAGTTGTGATCTTGTTTATCTTCTATGTGCCTGGTACATAGTAGGTGCTCAATATACAATAGCTAAATTGAATGTACCAACCACAGTTTTAAAATACATAATGGCCATGTGCTACATCAAGCTCGCTCTTCTAGGTATATTATATGGTTCTTGACTATCCCTAGTTTTTGCATTGGCACATCACATCACACTTGATGGTACAATGTGACTACTGTTGTTACATGACTGTGTTAATCTAACTCCAGACTCATATAACTGTATCACTGTGGAAGAAGGAGAAAGTACTGGCTCTTCTTCCCTTCCCTTGTGCTCATCCCCAGAAGCTGTGGTTATTGTCCGTGTAAATGACATACTGGGACCCACTACAAAAAGCAGTGTCCTGCCTACCATTTCAGGTCTGAGGTAAGTACTATTCTTTCTTTCCCTTTTGCAAAGATTGTACTGGGCAGAGATATGGGTAGAATATTCTCCTTGAGCCTGGTGCCACAGCTGAAGAGAATCAAAGACTTTTGTTGTTCACAACTAGCTCTTCCTTAGGCTTTAAAAAGTACAGGGAATAAGAAAGCTCACATTCATATTCACCAACATGGAAGAACAGGTAAGAATCTGTGAGGAAAACCTAGCAATGAACAAAATATATAATCAACTTAAGCATCTCCAGCTAAACCTCTGTACAAGTAGGTAATATCCAGTCAAGATGAAGTAACCCTAACATCTGCTACGCCCTGGAAGTGAGTCTAACCATAACAGCTATCATTTATTAAGCATCTACTCTGTGCTAGACACCATGTTAGGTGTTTTATAAATATTACCCTAATCTTTAAATACCTTATGTAGGATTATTTCTATTTTGCAGGTAAGACAGTGGAAGCTTAACAAGGTTGGATAACTTGTTCACATCATATAACTAGCAGATGTTAAGAGTTAGGATTCAAACAAATGTGGCTATTTCCATTGCATCATCAGAGATAAGAGTGTTCTAGTTACCTATTTTAGATCCAGACAAGTTATTTTCAAATTCGAATGTGGTTTGATCTTGATTATTGAAAAGATTTTAGATTTTCAATGACCACAAATCTGAAATAATAACACTATCTGGTTACATACATTCTCCTATCAGTTTTTCTTATGCCACACTCACCTTGCCCCCTATCCGGACCTGAGCCTGAAGTTTGGCTAACTTTTCTTGATTCATGCTGTTGGTAAATCTAGGGGGGGAAAAATAGATTTGTTAAAGTCACTCTTTTACCGAAATCAACAAACTGTTTATGCAACAGTACCTTCTGGTTCACTGAGCTTGTAGTATGCATCAACACCATGACCATGTTAATACTGTCTATATTCTTAATAAACATTAATAACTTGTTCTAGCTTCATAAACCAGGTATTTTTAAAAATCAAAATTAAATTACCATGAGGGAATCAAATATACAAATAAAATAGAATGGGATTCAAAGTCACCTATTCAAAGATCCCTCCTTAAAACATGATTCAATCCTTTGGCATTCAGTTAAGCCTAATCAATTATGAAATCTCTGTAGGCAAGCCAGCTTTTTCCCCCAAAGATTTTTACAGCAGAGAGCTGTTACCAAATGTTATTAGCAAAATCTTCAAGTAGATTTTTTTCCCTCCCAAATCACATTCTGTATTTCTTATAAACCATAAAGATGATAAAAGGAAAAAAAAGCTGAACAAAGAAGAAATTCAACAAAAGGCTGTCTAGCTGTCAAGATATCAAGTAGTCACATCCTCTATTCAAGGTCAGATGGTATGTTAATAATGGGGAAAGAGAACCAGGTTTTCAGACGTTTGGTGCTTCTGCAGCATTCTCCAGAGTTCATTCAATACCCTGCACTGATACAGTATGTTATACTTGTCAAGATATTCTTGCCTACAGGGTAAAATGCTTCATTGCACAATTTAACAAAAACATATCTTTGCTACAGTAATAAATGTTGGGGGGGAGAGGAGACTCCTAAAACAAGCTTTTTAAAGGTAATCTTGATTTTGAAGATTCTAACATCATGAATCTAGTCTGGTCAGTGAATTCCCACTAAGAAAAAAATATTTTTAAGTTTATAATGGGTCATAACATTCCACATTACATAAACAAAGAAAAGCCAATCAAGGCCTGGCATGGTGGCTCACGCCTATAATCCCAGCACTTTGGTAGGCCGAGGTGGGTGGATCACCTGAGGTCGGGAGTTCGAGACCAGCCCGACCAACATGGAGAAACCCTGTCTCTACTAAAAATACAGAATTAGCCAGGCATGGTGGCACATGCCTGTAATCCCAGCTACTCGGGAGGCTGAGGCAGGAGAATCGCTTGAACTCGGGAGGTGGAGGTTGTGGTGAGCCGAGATTGTGCCATTGCACTCCAGCCTGAGCAACAAGAGTGAAACTCCATCTCAAAAAAAAAAAAAAAAAAAAAAAACCACCAAAATAAAAGTCTTGTTTTACTTGTTCTGTGGATCAACAAATCATTACTGAGATGTGGAGGAGGGAATAAAGGACTAGGCTGTTATCAAACCTTCCTTGGCCAATTCTCTAAACCCTGTATAGTCATCATTCCCATGAAAAAGATACTGTTTGCTTCATTTGAGAGATTAATAAAGGAGCATCGAAGACTATATAATTACTAACCACTTTGTACTTTGACACTGTACTTAGGCACTAACCTGTATATATCTCTTCTTTAAGGCTAATGTCCAGATCCCAAATAATATTTAGAATTTATGATTCTTCACTCTGCTCAGCACTGTATCACAATGCTGAAGCAGCTAAAAACACTTTTATAGGAGGAAGTGTGTTTAGAGTTCAAAACAAGAAGTCTTAACTGTGTGCCAATCTTAGCTCTGCCACGGACTTAAATTTGATGACTGAAATCCCAATTCCTATGCTCAAATATCCACAGAAAACGATCAACATTCACTTTTCTCAAAGGAATGTGGCCATGAGAGTGTAGTGAACTAACAAAGAGCCTAAGGAATTTATTGCAAAAAAAAAAAAGGGGGGCTAAGGAAAAACATTAGACCTAGATACTGGGTAAACCCTTTGGAATTCTTTTGCATTTTGAATTAACAATTCCCAAGAGAAGAGACAGAGGTTGGGATGCCAAGACAAAGTCTTGACTTGTTTGAAATAAAAGCAAGAACAAAATTCACTCTTCAAATCAGGTATAGATGAAAGAACAGATTCCATTCCAGGTGGTCAGGACAACAGAATTGAGAAATTTTGTTCCTAAGGAGTATCTCAGAGAAAAAGGATTTTAGGTAGACTGAGAGCTCAAGGCAGTAGGGGAGGAAGAAGAGTGGTCTTTTGTTTCTTAGCAAGTTGTGGTGTGTGGAATTCAAGTAAGAAAGAGGACTGGACTGTCTATGAGATGTCAAGCTCAGAATCTGGAGTAGACCTCCAAGATCACCTAGTTTAATTCCCTGTTCTCAATCAACCTTTACTTTATTGCACCCATTCCTGTCTGTGATGTCATCTCAACACCTGCTAGCAGCAGCAAAGTGTAAATTACAAACAAAACAGTTCCCTCCCTCCCATCTTAATAGATTAGGAAATGAGGGCCCAGAAGGGAGAAGTCCCTTCCTAGGCCCAAAGGGGAGAAGTAACTTCCTAAAGCCACATGATTAATGAGTTCTTCCTTGGGGATCCCAGGATCTTTTAGCACTGTTCTCAAGGACTCAAGAAAGGGTGTAAACAGGTTTATCTATATTTATTAAGTGCCTAAGTTAGAAGCATTGTGGTAGGCACTTTCACATACATCATGTTTACACAGAGATAAAAATAATTGCAACCTTGAGTCCTGACTTTTTATTATGCAGGGTTTCTCTAAGACGAGCGCAGGCTTTGGAATCAGAAAGACCAAGGTTCTACCACTTGGGAAAGGTATTTTTCTTCTCTGAACTTGTTTTCCTCCTGCATTTGCAAAAGTATAACACCACGTACTTCACAGGGTTGTTTTGAGGGTTAAAACATTATCAACCACAGGGAATGGTTCACAGAAGATACACAGTTACTGGTAACTATTGTTACCACTCCCGAGGGGACAACTATGGTAAACTGCAAGAACGTGGGAACGGAAGTTGAAACCGCCATTCACTAGCTGTGCAACACTCAGCCTGTCGGTCAGTCAGCAGGCAGAGGGGGTTATCAAGATAGGCAAGGGACGCCGACTTGTAAACAAACATTGCCATTACAAGGTGAAGAGCGCTGCAACTGAGTTCGGTTCCCTGGACTTGAGGGCGGGAAGTGGTAACCTCAGCGTCCCTATCTGTAGGCTGGGAGCATCAAATGAGATGACAACAGAGAGCATGTATAAAGACCAAAGCACACAACATTGCTGTTGTGAATGAGGAGTAATGGGACAGAGGAGGGGCGTCTACCCGCCTCCTGGGACGGGATCTCGGCGGCAACAGCGCGGGCCCGCTCGCTCCCACAGGGGGCGGTGGTGCTGGGGACCTTCCCACAGGTGCCGACCCCCAGCTGCGCCGCCGGTAACCGACAGGCCAAGCCAGCCGCCTCCGCCCCCGCTCGCCGCACCACGGCGGAAGTGGCAGCCTGAGCGGTTGGCGGGTGTCGAAAGGAGAGGGCGGGGGGAGACCGTGCGCAGCGGCCTATGGCCGTGGAGTGGCGGGACCGCCGGGGGTCTCACCTGAAGCAGGGAGGGTCCTCCAACAACAGCACGCGGCAACAGCAAGATGGCTGCCTCAGCCGAGACAGAGAAAGACGACGGCGGCGGCGGCAGCGGCGGCGGGAGCAGGTCCACGTGACACACCCGACCCCGCCTCTCCCTCTCCGGGGCAGCCTATCCCGGGAGCGCACATCTGAACTCCAACGCCCTGCCTACTTTGCGCATCCCTCTAGTGCTAGTGGCGGCAGGTGCAGGTGGCCGCGCAGCATCCTGGGGCTTGCAGTCTCCCGAGCGTTCCATTGTGTCCCTGCCTACAATTTTAAGGAACCTAATAAAAGGGGCGGTCGGTATGTTTTTGTTTGGGTGTGTACTTTTGTTAGGTTGCTTTTTCGCTATGCATTAAGTACGGACTTTAGGACTCAACTAGTACCAGGAAGAAAAAGACCGGACATTTTCACCTGTTATACAGCGGAGGGGAAAAATTGGGAAGAAATCCTCAACCTACAAGAAAAATAACCAGAAGCTTTACACTTTAGCCTGCAGTGACTTCTGTCCTGGTGTCCTAAGTCCACCTAAGTCAGTTTTGCAATAAGAGGCCCCAAGTTTGGTTTTCTCGGAGCTTGCATCAGTTGGTTGCATCATCCCTGAGTAGAAGATTTGCGGTTGCAAGGAAAAATAAGGTACAGAGCTTCTCCAGCGGGGAAGTGCATGCCTGCACGGCACGAGCCCACGCACCGCAGAACAGGCTTGCCAGGTCTCTTTGGAGACCCTGGCAGGAACCTAACAATGAAATCCAGTCGTCCAGTCTTTATTTGTGGAGGGGGAAGGAGAATCCGAGGCCAGTGGGCAATTCGCCCACTGTTGGGAGCGACTGACCTCACGAATCAATAATTTGCGTTTGACTAGGAAGTGGAGCGGTTCTTGGGGGGAGGGGCTGGACTGGTGGCGAACGCGAGCAGCAACGGTTCTCCCGAACCTCTCTCCCGCCCTTACTATCTTGGCCCACATTTTCCCGCTCCGTCCCGGGACCTGGACACCCAGAATCCATGGAAAGCAACTCGCGCTCGAGAACAGCTTTCGTACCCTTCTACGTGATCTGCACCTTTAAACTCACTCCATCCCAAACCGGACCCCGGAGGCACCACCCACATCCGTCTAACATCACTTCCTCCAGAGTTTGAAAAAAAAAAATCTGGGAAGGAGAGGGGTTGTGCTGAGCCGCGCTCGGGGAACGGTGTGGACCGTCTGCTGGGACTCCGGCCCTCCGTCCGCTCAGCCCCGTGGCCCCGCGCACCTACTGCCATGGAGACGCGGCCTCGTCTCGGGGCCACCTGTTTGCTGGGCTTCAGTTTCCTGCTCCTCGTCATCTCCTCTGATGGACATAATGGGCTTGGAAAGGGTCAGACCGCGTTCTTATCTTTACTGATCCTGGGCCCCAGCCCAGTATAACCTCTTCTTGCCCTAACACCGTTCCCCTCCCGTTCTATCTCTTAGACCAAGCCAGATTTCTTTTTATCTTCCCTAATCACTCCTGGAGTTTGAAGATTTCTTGGGGTAGAGAGTAGCGGGTCTGGGGAATGAAGTTCTACTTGAGGCCTCTCTAAATTACTGGGTTGGGGAGAAGGAATGGCCCGTAAATTAAGAAAAGCATGTTTAAGAGCCCGGCACAGTGCCTAGCACTTGGGAGGTCCTGAGGAGCGGTCACCTTCCCACCCGGGAGAAATAGAGCCGTTGGGGACCTGCATATGCAGAGAACCCTGTCCTAGGTCTGAAGATTTCTCTCCTTGCCTCTTCCGTGAAGAGCTAGGTTACTGCCACTTGCTTGCCTTTGGGAGACAGCACCTGCATCCCAGGTAGCTGGATCTAGTGCATAAGAAGGGCAGGGTGAAGGAGAAGGTCTGCTGTTTAAGGATCCCCAACAATTGTCCTTGCTGTGGTTCAGCGAAGTGTTTTTGTGAATGAGCGATCGGTGGTTATGAATGGAAGTTAGGAGGTGTGGCCCCCTACTCCATCCATTACCTGCATCTCCATTCTAAGTTTTAACACCTTTCTCCTCATCAGCCCTTAGTTAGCTGAAAGTTGGATTGACAGTCTGTGAACTCAAGGTTTATGGTTTTCTAAGTAGATGAATTGTAGCATGGATCCCAACCCCTCTTCCATTTTTTTCCCACTGACCTTACTGTATGGAATGATTCTGCTGCAATCCTTCTGTTTTTGTTTTCTCTTATCCTCTCTATTTTCACATCAATTGGTGAGTAATAAGATTGAGTGGGCATTCATTTTGCCTGAATGCAATCATTCCTTCATTCCATAAATAATTTTTGATCACCTCCTGTATTTCAGGCACTGTTCTAGGCACTAGGGATATAGCTGTAAACAGGACAGACAAGGTTCCTACTCTCGTGGAGCTTATATTCATGTCAGAGAGACAGAGTAGACTTATGAACAAATTAATAAGACAGTTTCAGCTAGGAACAAGTGCTGGGAAAACAACAAGACTGTGATGGAATAGGAAGTAGAAATGCTGGGGAGGTTGGGGAAGCTGGCATCACTTGAGTTATGAAGGTCAGGAGAAGCTTTTTGGAGAATGTGATATGTGGGTTTCCATCTCAGTGATGAAACTGCATGACAAATCCTGTTAGGCCAGAATGTTTTAAATACTGACAATCCCATTTTAAAACAGACTGCCTTTTTGTTTGTTTGTTTTGTTGTTTTGTTTTTTAGACAGAGTCTCGCACTGTTGCCTGGGCTGGAGTCCAATGGCATGATCTCAGCTTACTGCAACCTCTGCCTCCTGGGTTCAAGCGATTCTCCTGCCTCAGCCTCCCGAGTAGCTGGGATTACAGGTGTCCACCACCACGCCTGGCTAGTTTTTTGTATTTTTAGTAGAGATGGGGTTTCACTATGTTGGCCAGGTTGGTCTTGAACTACTGACCTCATGATCTGCCCGCCTCGGCCTCCCAAATGCTGGGATTACAGGTGTGAGCCACTGCACCCAGCCAGACTACTGTATATTTACAGTAAAATTGTAAGTACTGAGAGTAACGGAAGAGTAGTGTGTTAGATACGTGAGTTTAGATCTGAGTTTTTTCTTTGTTGTTTTTTCTGTTTGCTTGCTTTTGTTTTTGAGATAGAGTCTTGCTCTGCCACCCAGGCTGGAGTGCAGTGGTGCTATCTCAGCTCACTGCAACCTCTGCCTCCTGGATTCAAGTGATTCTCCTGCCTCAGCCTCCTGAGTAGCTGGAACTACAGGCGTGTGCCACTATGCCGAGCTAATTTTTTTTTTTTTTTTTTTTTGTATTTTTAGTAGAGATGGAGTTTCATCATGTTGGCCAGGCTGGTCTCAAACTCCTGACCTCAGGTGATCCTCCCTCCTGGGCCTCCCAAAGTGTTGGGATTATAAGCGTGAGCCACCGCATCAGGCCTAGATCTGAGTTTTAATTTGTTCTGCCACTCACTAGCTGAGTAGCCTTGGGCAAGTTTCTTAACTCTCAAAGCCTCAGTTCCTCATCTGCAAAATAGGCATCATAACTACTTCAGACACTCAACAAATAACTTACTCTGTTCGAGTTACTGTGTTAGGTATAGGTAATACCTTGGAGTCAGGTATTTTGTATCTTTATTCCTTGTTCAATATTAAGCTTTGTGTGGTTGTTCCTGTTACCATTGTTGTGTAATAAATCACCCCAAAATTTAGTGGGCATTTTATTATGCTCACAATTGTGTGAGTAAGGAATTCAAGGCACACTGGGAAAGGCTTGTCCCTGTTCTATAATGTCTGGGGCCTCGGCTAAACTGGTTACCTCTCCATCTGATCTTTCTGCATAGGCTACTATGCGTTTCCTCACAGTAGCTTTATGGGAGGCTGGATTCCAAGAGTGAATGCCATAAGAGAACAAGGTGGAAATGCATGGCATTTTTGTCATCTAGCCTTACAAGGCACATAGCATCACTTCCACTGTACCCTGTAGGGGCAGATTCAAGGGAATGGGATATTAGGATCGCACCCTCACCCCCAGTGGGAGGTATGTTGAGGTCACATTGTAAGAAGGGCATATCCGCCACAGTGAACTAGGACTATTTCTGTCTTGTTCATGCTCAGGAATATTTGTTGAAAGAGGAAATGAATGATAAACATGATGATTGTGATTCCGGTCCTTTTTTCAGCTTACAGTCTGGTAAGATACCAAGACAAGTAAGCAGACAGTTACATGGCAGCGTGATATATACTTTGAGCAGGGAAATACTAGGTAGCTGCAGGAGCACATAGAAGGGCAGCTTAGGGCAGTGGGACTGGGTTGGGAGGATTCAATCAAAAAACAAAAGGCACTTAATATTGTGTCAAACACTTAGAAAGTATTTAATAAATATTAACCAGTATAATCCCTAAAAGGAATTCATACTATTTCAAACTTTTGTTTCATGTATCTCTTGGGTATGGATTCTTGGGAAATAGATTACATCCCACTTCCCCTACTTCCCAAAAAAAGTGCTACCTGGGGCAATGGTTGCTGAAAGTCTTAATGAGATGGATTTCTTCTCAGATGTTTAGCTCTAGCTCTTTCTGGAAGATGGCCTGGTGGTTTGCAGGGAGGAAAGACTGAATGATCTCTACTGTTTTCATTAAGAAGCAGCAGCACAGTGATGTGGACTTAGCACTAAATAGAAATTAGGAGACCCAGGCCAGGCGCGGTGGCTCACGCCTGTTATCCCAGCACTTTGGGAGGCTGAGGCAGTTGGACCACCTGAGGTCAGGAGTTCGAGACCAGCCTGACCAACATGGCGAAACACTATCTCTACTTAAAAAATACAAAAATTAGCCAGGCATGGTGGCACACAGCTGTAATCCTAGCTACTCGGGAGGCTGAGGCAGGAGAATTGCTTGAACCTGGGAGGTGGAGGTTGCAGTGAGCCGAGATGGCGCCACTGCACTCTAGCCTGGGACAACAGAGTGAGACTCTGTCTCAAAAAAGAAAAGAAATTAGGAGGCCTGGATATTAATCCTGGTCAGGCTATTTAGTTCTGGTCCTCCTTGACAACCAATTAATCAATGAGAGAGTTGGACTAGAAGTGCTTCCTAAGATCTCTTCCAGCTCTAACATTCTATAGAGTTCCAAAGTAATTACATTGTTCTCTGTGAACTAAAAATTTGGAATACATCACCTATGGGGAGAAGTAGTGACCCATATTTACTGTACATTTATTGTCCTTCAG